CTGTCTTCCAAATTTCTTGGCAATAAACTAGTAAGAGCTTCCATTGTTGCATCCATTTGTTGAAACATCTCAATTTGTATTCCATCAATTCCTGGAGCCTTTTTTTTTTTTTTTTGCCAGTGCCTTCAGTGTAACTTGGACTTTTACCTTCAGTACCACCAATTCTTGATCATATGCTACTTCCTGAAATGGCTGAATGTCCACTAATTATTTTTGTTACAGTGACTCTGTGTATTCCTTCTATCTTCTTTTCATGTTTCCTGCATTGTTGAATATTTTGCCCATAGAATCCTGCAATATTACAACTCGAGGCTTGAATTTTTTCTTCAGTTCTTTCAGCTTGAGAAATGCTGAGCATATTCTTTCCTTTGGGTTTTCTAACTCCAAGTATTTGTAGATTGCATTATATTCTTTACTTTTTTTCTTTGAGCTGCCCTTTGAAATCAGTTCTATGACTTCATAATTTCTTCCATTTGCTTTAGCTATGCTACATGCAAGTGCAAGTTTCATTCTCTTCTGACATCCATTTTGGTCTTTTCTTTCCTTCCTGTTTTTGTTTGTTTGTTTTAAATAAACTTTCACTTTCTTCATGTATGATATCCTTGATGTTATCCTACAACCTCTTTGGAATTCAATCATGAGTGCTCAGTATGTCAAATTTATTCTTGAGATTATCTCTAAATTTAGGTGGGATATAATCAAGGTCATATTTTGGCTTTTAGGGGCTTGTTTTAATTTTTTTCAGCTTCAGCTTGAACTTGCATGTGAACAATTGATGGTGTGTTTCACATTCAGACCCTGATCTTCTGATTAATGATACTGAGCTTTTTTATCATCTCTTTCCACAGATATTGTTGTTGTTGTTAGGTGCCGTGGAGTCGGACCCGACTCATAGCAACCCCTCCTTGGGTTTCCGAGGCAGTATGACTATGGAAGTAGATTGCCCCATCTTCCTTCTGAGGAGTGGCTGGTGGGTTTGAAACTGCCAGCCTTCTGGTTAGCAGTCAAGTTCTTTAGGCACTATGCTACTAGAGCTCCCTTCCACAGATATAGTCGATTTCATTGCTATCTATTTCATTGGACAAGGTCTGTGTTTATCGTTGCTGTTTATGTTGTTTAGAAAAGGTATTTGCAATTAATACTTTGTTGGTCTTTCAAAAGTCTGTCATTCAGTCTCTGACGTCATTTTTATCACCAAGATCATATTTTTCTAACTGCTGTTCCTTTTTTGTTTCCAACCTTTGCAATCCTATCACCAGTAATTATTACACATCTTAGTTGCCTGATTGATCAGTTGCACATTGCAGAAGTTGGTAAAAGCCTTAAATTCATCGTTAGCATTAATGGTTGCTATGTAAATTTGAATAATAGCCATATTAACTTATCTTTCTTGTGGGCATATGGATATTATCCTATCACTGACAGCACATTGTATTTCAAGATCTTGAAATGTTCTTTTTGTCAATGAATGTGATGCCATTCCTCTTCAATTTGTCATTCCTGGAGTGGCAGACCATATGATTGTTCAATTCAAAATGGCCAATATGAGTCCAATTCAGCTCACTAATGCCTAGGATATCAATCTTTATGTGATCCATTACTTTTGTGATGACTTCTAATTTTCCTAGATTATACTTAGCACATTCCACGTTCCAATTATTAATGAATGTTTTTAGCTGTTTTTTTCTCATTTTGAATAGTACCACATTAGCAAATATAAACTTTATTCCATCCATGTCATTAAGGTCAACTGTACTTCGAGAAGAGAGCTCTTCCCCAGTCGTATTTTGAGTGCCTTCCAACCTGAGGATACTCATCTTTGGGCACTATATCAGTGCTCTACTGCTATTTTAGGGTTTTCAGTGGCCAATTTTTTAAAGAAGTAGATCACCAGGTCCTTTTTCATACTCTCTTTTAGTCTGGAAATGTCACTGAAACTTGTCTGTCCATCACGGGTGATACTGCTGGTACTTGAACTATCAATGGCAAAATTTCCACCATCATAGGAACATGCAAGAAATACCCAACCCTAAACTAACTAGTTTCCTGAATTAAAAATATTTTCCGAATTAAACCTCTCTGTATTTATTTCTTCTCAAAAATAAAAGCATTTTCTCTAAAAGCATTTTCTTAGGCATTTTTCACATTGAAAAAAAAAAAATTATAGTTCTTGAACCGTTGTTTTGTTCTCTTCAAAGAAATGGAAAATTTTTAGTCAGTGGTTTCTCACAGACTAAAAATGAACAGGGGCCCAAAGATAGTGCACATTAAATTTGGCTACCTGGAATTCTACATTGATCAAGAATCAGTATGTATGTATGTGAGAGAACTTAGTTCCCATTTTTTAAAAAAAGGGAAACCATGCCTCAATTTGTGTACATGCCTTGCATGGCATAACTTAGAATACAAAGATAATCACAACTCTGAAATACTTGTGCTATTGAGAGTGATTTAACTTACTCCCTTTCGTCCAATGTATTTTATTAAAACTTCCTTAAGAATATGGATGAATCTACCTTCTCAAATGCATTTTAATCAACAGCAGCTCTGCAAGGAACAGGTATAAAAGAAAAAAAAAAGATTACTTTTGATAAATGCATGTAAACTGAAATTGATGTTTGATATGAGTGTTTCTATAACTTTAGAAAATTATTATTAAATTTGGTAATTATGTTTACTTTTTTATTAATGGTAAAAATATATACAACAAAACATATGGCAATAGTTTCTACATATATAATTCAGTAATATTGATTAGATTCTTCACATTGTGCAACCATTCTTACTATCTGTTATGAAATTATTTCACCACCATTAACATAAACTCAATGCCTCCTCAACAAAAAATCCCACTTTTTCCTTCCCTTGCACCCCTGGTAACCACTAATTATTTTTGGTTTCTATGTATTTGTTCACTTCATGTAAATGAATTTGTACAGCATTTATCCTTTTGGAATTCACTTATTTCTTCCCGCATAATATTTTCCAGATCAATTAATGTTGGGGCACACATCAAGTTTTAACCTATTTTAATTCAAGTAGCCAATGTTACAGTGCTATTGTAACTCATTTGCAAGATATCTGAAGTGGGTAGGTAACAACTTTAGCTTGTCTCTAGGAGAGGTTGAAATGGAATCTCAGTTCATATCAGAATTTCACTCATGTAACCATCTGAAGCTGGATAATGAATAAGGAAGACCAAATAACAATTGATGCCTTTGAATTAGGGTGATGATGAAAAATATTGAATACACTTGGATTGCCAGAAGAACAAGTGCATCTGTCTTAGAGGAAGTATAGCCAGACTACTCCTTAGAAGCAAGGATGACAAGACTTCATCTCACATGCTTTGAGCCTTTTATCAAGAAGGACCAGTCCATGGAGGAGGACATCATGCTTGGAAAAGAAAAGGGTCAGTGAAAAAGAGGAAAACCCTCAACAAAATGGATTGGTATGAGTGGCTGCAACAATGAACTCAAAGACAGCAATATTCATGAAGAGGCACAGGATTGGGCAGTGTTTTGTTCTGTTGTATGTAGGGTCACTATGAATCAGAACTGACATGATAGCACCTAACACAACTACATCCATGGCTGAATTTAATATGTATATATAACTACATAAACACCTATTTCATTCTTGTGCTATTTTATGCAATAACGAATTATACTAAAAACAAATTTAAATAGAAGTGAACATCTCAAGCACATCAGCTCCTCTTCCTGAATCTTCCATTTCTGCTCATATTTTTACCATTTATTTATCCATACTCCTGGGCTGCAAACTGAATTCTAATTTGATTGCTCCTACTCCCCACATCCATACATAATTAGTCACAGAGCTCTGAAACAAGACTCTAATTTTGTTTAGATTTGTTTGTACAGTGAACTAGTTAAGAACCTTAGCCCTTCAGTCCTGGTTCACAACCACTTTCTTCTTGTAAGCCTAAGGCCTGCCACATAATTTCAGTCAAACTCCTTAAACTGGCTTTGAAAATGCCATTTTTACGTTCAGAAACATTGTGTTTCTCTTTTCCTGTCTTTAAAAACAGTATGATAGCCTGATTCATTGGTTTTAAACAAATAAACGGTTGTAACGCCATTTTACTAACACTACAATAACAGACTGCACAGATCCTAGTACTACTCTAAAGAGGGTCTCTAAGGACTGAGTGTCTTGAACATAATGAAAAAATAATTGAGTCAAAGGAATAGCACAATAAATACAACTAGGCTTGAAATATTCCAGAGTATTCAAAGAACAACAGCACATTTGGCTTGGCTTGAAAGTAGATGTAAGAATTACATGGGGACTATCAGAAATGAGACTAAGATCATATTATAAAGCATTCCAAAAAAACAAGCCAAACTCACTGCCGTCGAGTTGATTATGACTCATAGTGACCCATCCTTGGGTTTCTGAGGTGGTATCACTATGGAAGTCGATTGCCCAAACTTCCTTCCAGTGAGTGCCTGGTGGACAATAGTTATACTAAAAAGTGTTCCTCAAACAGAAGGAACTCAATCATATGTATTCAATAAATGAATGAATGAATGATTTTATCTACTACTCACCAAAACTCCAAACCCACTGTCATCGAGTCAATTCTGACTCATCACGACCCCCATTGTGTTTCCAAGGCTGTAATTACTGCCCCATTTTTCTTCCATGGAGTGGCTGGTGGACTCGAACCACCAGCCTTTTGCTTAGCAGCCAAATGCTTTAACCATTACACCACCAGAGCTCCTTCATGTACTACTAGTATATTAAATCTTTATTTGTGTTTAAATATTTTGTATTTAATAATTTATGAATTTGCACCATGGCTCACTGAAGAAAAATGTGTGCTTGCATTCTGTTTTCTATACTCTTTATGGTGTTTAACCCATTAATGTGACAAATAAAAATGTTCCTACTAATATATCCCAAAATTCAAGAGTTCCCAAAGTTAACATATACAAACAAAGTGTTCATTCTCTTTGTGTTTTTTCTTTTTCTAGGGTCAGACATTGTTCAGTGGTTAATAAAGAACTTAACTATTGAAGATCCAGGTAAACACATAATTTTCCCATTGATTATTATTTTTCTAGAAAAGTATAATTAAATTTGAACTATGAATTTTAGCATTTACAAAGATTTTGTAGTAGTCAACATATATTTAATGAAAATTTAGTATATTTTACATACTATATTATGTATTTAGTATATGTTATGTTTGGACAAAGGCAAAAGCCAAGGAAAGTTCTACTGTGTAGATGAATCCTGAGTGTCTTGAACATAATGAAAAGATCATTGAGTCAAAGGAATAGTACAATAAAGACACCTATGCTTGAAATATCTCAGAGTGTTCCAATCTACTGATCTTTGAATATATTGAGTATATTTTATATGTTGTTGTTGTTGTTATGTGCCATTGAGTCAGACCCGACTTACAGTGACCCCTCCTTGGGTTTCCGAGGCGGTATCATTACAAAAATAGATTGCCCAACCTTCCTTCCGAGGAGTGTCTGGTGGGTTTGAATTGCCAGCCTTCTGGTTAGCAGTCAAGTGCCTTAGGCACTATGGTACCAGAGCTCCTATATTTTATATACTATATTGTATGTTTTAATGTTTCATATATTTCAATAGTGTTCTACTGTAAAATTTGATTCAGACAATTGACAGTTTTTAGAATGGGTAAGCTGAATACATATGCATAAATATTTATACATGTAATTCATAGAAAATTATTATGAAATAATGAAATTTCCTTTCATAAGACACAAAAATAAATCTTGTTAGTTTTTAATTTTGCCTTTCTTTTCTATGAGGTTTGAAAACAGTATTTTATTTGTAATTTAAATTTTTTATTATTATTTTTACCATGCCTGTATGCTGTATATATATATTTTTAATGCTCTTGTTTAAGGCCTGGGCACATTCACTGTAATAGGCATTATGTCTACTCTACAGCAGTAAAATCAATTCCAGAGTTTGGGAACAATTTCGACCAGCTAATATTTTGCACTGTGTAGAACAGATCTGTACACATGTGAGGCAATGAGTGACTTTCTAAAAGTATTATGCAAAAGTTTTCTATGTGCCAAATAACTCAACCACTGAGATGAAATTAAGATGTATATTATTTAGAGAAGATGCTGAGAAATCAAGAAGAGTCCTATGAAAAACGAGTATTGCATTGCCTTTCAGTGGCCTGCCAGAGGAATACATTAAACTATACAGCATAGCATCACTCGAATCAGAGATGAATTTGGCAGGGCCTTTACTCCTACCTCTGGCCACCACCACCCTACAATGATTTCAAAATAATGGCTTATGGAGATGCAAAAGTTTCTATTTTCATTTTGAGCTACTATACAAAGCCATGCCATGAAAAAATACAGCTCTAACTCTGTACACAAATGTCTATATACATACTCTGTTCACTTGGTACATGAGCTTTTGAAATACTTATCCTAGCAGATTAGACAAGATTAAAACAATTAGTAAAGATGAAGCAGCTATTCTGGCACCACATAATTACCATTATAATAAGTTTAGGATTCAATCGACCTGAAGGGCATGCCTGACGTTTATGAACTGTACCATCAAAAAGATCATCCTAATGTTAAAAATCAAATTGGCACAATCATTGAGAACCAGGGAATGACTGATTTGCAAAGAATATTGTAGTTTAAAGGGTAACATGTATTCAAAAGAGTAAATTTCTTTTTAGTAAGTTTAAGACTGAAGATGGACTTCAGGAATAGAGAAGCAAGAAAAAGATTTACAGATAAAATAAGCTAGTAAGAAATAATCAAAGGGACATTTATTGGTTCAGTGGAGAAATCTCAACTTCTATACAGGAAACTGAGATTTGAATCCTCGACCAATGCAACCCATGTGTAGCCACCACCCATTTGTCAGTTGAAACTTGTGCGTTGCTAGGATGCTAAATAGGTATCAGCAAAGCTTCCAGACTAAGACAGACTAGGAAAGAAGGCATAGTTATCTGCTTTCAAAAATGAGCCAGGGAAAACCATATGGATCACAGTGGCCTGATCTGCAGCTGATCATGGTAGTGGTACAAGACCCTGTAGCATTTTGTTGAGTTGTGCATTGGGTCACGATGAGTTGGGGGCCTACTGGATGGTAGCTAACAGTGACAACAAAGAAACAATCATTATATATAATTTATACATGAGATCATTTTAGCTATGATATATATGAAAAACTGATTTTACTTGTTTGAGCAACACTCATTAGAAGAGAATGAAGAGCTAAAGCCAATCATGTCCAGGTTAGAAGGGAAATATGCATTATTGGTACTTAGGGAAACCTGAAAAATTAGTTTTTCATTTGTTGTTTTGCTTGAATTTACCCTCTGCAGAGTATAAGCTCTGTATTAGGTTTTCAATAGAGTAAAAGAAGCATTATTGATTGTTCTGAAGATAAAAGAAATTATGAACACAGAAAATGAATCAATCTGATAGCCATACTGATCCCAATTTAGTATGATCAACAACATAAATGATATTATGAAAATTACTTGGATAGCTACATATATGTAATTAAAATACCATTTTTGGAACTATTTATGAAGAAAGAATAAGTAGTTATAATTTAACTCCCTCAACTCCCTGAAGAGATTTAAAAATGAGAGAAAAATCCATGCCTGGCTTCCTTTGCTGTATCAAATAAGTTGTCATTTGAAGACCTCTAGGGATCATTTGAAGTTCTGGATGTCAGTCATATGTTGAAAGAGGGTTTTCATGGAAATTGGAAGTGCCTGGGTAAAAGAGCAGGTTCTGATGGCCTATTTGGGGGACAGAAGAAGAGAGTTACAGTCTTTCAAGATCTCATCAAAGACTGATAAATCCATGTTACTTGTACTTTTAGTGTCCAGTATTTTATAACTGAACATTTAATACCTTTTCATTTCTATTACAGCAATTTAGGGCATATTTTTTCTGAATATTTTACTAGAGATTTTAGATGGGTAGTGGAGGAAGAGCCTCAAAGAGATAGATTGACACAGAGGCTGCAAGACTGTGCTCAGGCATAGCAACAATTTTAAGGATGGTGTAGGACTGGGCAGTGTTTCATTCTGTTGTATATGGAGTTGCTATGAATTGGAATCATGTCAATGACACATGACAACAACAACAATAAATATGGGTACATTATATTATTCTTTTTTTAAAAAACAAAAAAAAGCTATATTTGACCTTTATCTGGAATTTATGATTTTTTTAAAAGTTAGCATTGCACATGATTCCTCCTCACATGTCAATATAATATATGCACAGGAACAGTCTAAATTATTTGTTTTCTTCTACTTTTTGAGTCTTTTCATGGTATATATTTTTTAAGTAAAAATTCATTTCTACATTGTCCTTAATTATTTCATTAAATTTAACAAATATCTGAAATCTTTGAGGAATGCCCTGCAAATACAATGGTGAGCATTTGCTCCTTGAATGACTTGACTATCATTAGCTTCCAGAATATCACACTATCTTGGCTGTCCTTCTCTTTCACTGACCACTCAATCTCAGTCTTCTGTGATAGCTCTGTACTTTCTAGCTGATCTATAAATGCCTCAGGTCTCTGTCTTGGCTGCTCTTCCTTTCTCCATCTGCACACCATTGCTAAGTGACATATACTGTTGTTGTTGTTGTTATATGCTGTTGAGTTGGACCCGACTCATAGCAACCCCTCCTTGGGTTTCTGAGGCAGTATCATTATGGAAGTAGATTGCCTCATCTTCCTTCCGAGGAGTGGCTGGTGGGTTTGAACCGCCAGCCTTCTGGTTAGCAGTCAAGTGCCTTAGGCACTATGCTACCAGAACTCCCGGCATATACTGAGGACTCCCAAATTCATAGCTTCTGTGTAGGCCATCCATGGTGCTCCATATTTGTCTATCAAATGTCTACTTGACTTCTTTTCTGAGAGGTCAAACTCAACCTAAATAGAACCCTTGATTTCCACACCTCTCAGTCTTGCTCCTTTATATCTTCCCTAGCTCATTTATGATGTGGCGTCATCTATCCAAGAGCATAGTGTGTCTTCCCATTTATTCAAATTTGCAGTGGTCTTTCAGGAGTGTTTTAATGTTTTCTTCATAAGTTTATGCACAATTCTTATTTATTTTAGTTATTTTATTTTGTGATATTGTATATGGATGTACTTTTCCATCTTATCATTTAACTGGTTATTATATATATTATAGATTATATAAGTTATTTTTTATAATTTATATTCCATTGTGCATGGAGTCACCATGAATTGAGAGCTGATTCAATGGTAGCTAACAACAACATAACTTTTTTAACTACTGCTGAGTGTTCATACAAGAAGCACTGGTGGCGCATCGGTTAAACCATTCAGCTGCTAACCAAAAGGTCGTCAGTTTGAACCCACCACAGCTACTCTGTGGGAGAAAGATGAGGCTCTCTGCTACCATAAAGATTTATAGCATTGGAAACCCTACAGGGAAATTCTACTCAGTACTATAACGTCACTGAGTCAGAATCAATTCAGCAGCAGTGGTTTTGGTTTTTTGGTTTACAGTGTTCATACATCAAGGGCTGTGTTGTCAGACAGAAGGCTGATCTGGGCTGTTTGTTCATAGTGATGTAGACCAAGAATCATCACTGTGTATATGAGGTGAGAAGTGAGAAGTGGAGTATAAAGTCAAGTTCCCTCCACAAGAATACTGCTTGCTGAATGATAGGAGAATTTCCTCTCAGGGTATCTGAGAGAGGTAGCCTAGACAGCAAGTGGTCCCTTAAAGTTCAAACAGCCAAACAGCACTAAAGGATGATGATGGGAATAGGACACCTGCTGTATTATATTGTGGTAAGACATGTATTGCAGGACCTTTTGACTGATTTTTCATTTTTTCATCTTTCAATACCTTCACATATATCAACAAACATTTTGGTATTAGAAAGAATGCTGTGATCACAAAAAAACTTGAGAATTGCTGCATTATAGTATATTGTTGTTATGTGCCGTCGAGTCGGACCCGACTCATAGCGACCCCTCCTTGGGTTTCTGAGGCAGTATT